CTATATCAGCTCTGCTAACCCGCCATGGTACGTGATGCATGACATGAAGCAGGCTTATGTGAGCAGATATGCATCCCCTCTCTCCATGTATCACTCCTTCAATGCGATCCCGAGAAGTTACATGCCGAAAGAACGCTCCTTGTCATTATTACTGCTGGCAGGCAGGCCTTCAGCACAAGCGTAGCAGTTGGTCATGTCTGCTTAATAATGTAGCTTTAGAGCTAAATCACTTCTCCTGTCTTATCCTACCGCCTGTACAAAGAGAGATTCGTAGCAAGTCGTTGAGATGCTGCCCGCCGAAAAACAGTCCAACCCCCATCCCTTTTCCCTGGGATGCCGTGATGCCAAATATGCCAAGATTCAAGTGGTAGATTGTAGACGCCATGAACGCTCCAGTTTGCAAGAAATACAGAAAACAGCCTGATACGATAATCCTTCGTATCCAATAAACCGGGTGGAGCAGCCAATCATATAAGAAAGGGGTATATGTGAAGAACGAGCGGAGCCGGAAGAGCAGAGCCTGGTCTGCTGCAGATGAGAATCGTTCAAGCGGCTGCTTGCGGCGCGGCAGGCGCAGCGGCATCGGGAGTGGCATCGGCTTCTTTGACCGTTTCGTGCACGCCCTCACCTCTACAGAGCGGACACGAGTTGCGTCCTGTTGTCAGCCACTAGAATAGGTTAGCATATGCAACTCCTCGAACACAAGAGACCAACTCACCTGATCAATGCAAATCTTGTGGAACATGTGTTCGCACCTGACCAGCTTCCGCGCCTCCTCATCCACCTCGAAGTCGCATAGGCAGACGAGGCAGCGCGCACCCGGAACGAGACTGATGGTCTCCTCGCCCTCAACAGCCTCGGCCACAAGAGTACCAACACGATCTTGTATCCTGAAGAGACCCGGAGCCGAAGCCACATCCTCTTCGCTCGCAACTGGCGGTTTGGCGGGCCCGAGTATAGAAGAAAGCAACATCATGTCTTCGTAAGTTGGTGAATCGGTGAAGAGACTTGGGGTAGTAAGAATAGGGTGGTTCTCTGGGTAGCTCCCTCCCAGGACGTATATGATCCAGCTCCTCGAACCCTCCCCAGGATTATTGTCGGGCTCCACGACACCTCTTCTACGGGGTGCACCCGACCCATACCTTGTGAAATCCGACTCGCTCAAGCGTCGTGGGCGAGCATTGCGGGTGTGCGTTTGTGGCTCTTCTGCAGTGGGCTCGAGAGTCGAGCCGGCAGCTCTACGGACGAAGCTGTTCCGCCGTGAAGGTGCCGAGGACTGTATGGTCGGCGAGGGAGGAGAGGTGGAAGTCGCTGGTGTAGTGGCGCCTGATGGGCCGGCTGAGAAGTTGAGCGTCGTCGCGGGCGTGGAGGGTGGGGGGAGAGGCCCCGGGGGAGAGTCAGTAACGGATGACCATGGCCGAGGGTGCTCTTGTGGCGTGCCGCGGTGATGCCTTTGACTGTCGTAATTGGAAGGAAAGTTGAAGCCGCCCATCGAGGCTCGCCGCCTATGGCTGAAGCGTGTCCCGTTCTGTGGTGGTTGTAGGATGTTTGCATTGGCATCGCCTGGTGACGTCGGTGGTGTGGGGAAGCTCGAGAGGGCATCAAGGAAGGGCGGTATGCTGGCATCCTCCTGTCCAGTGCCACTTCCAGGTTGTATGGATCTGATGCCCACAATGATTATCGGCACCATCCTGCCCTCCCCATCCTCGTCGCCTTCTGCTCCGCTATTCCCTGATGCGCTGCCACCGCGCCCACTACTATCGGTCCGCCCGTTGTCGGTGCCAGTGCCAAATCTGAACATTCTGAAGAAATTGAGGGGCGCCTGGGCGGCTCCCGGAGTGTCGCCACCTTGTCCGTCCTCGTTGCCTCGGAGCGCCGATGCTATGCTGCCATTCTGCAGCGACTGCAAGAAGGTATCGAATGTGCCGTCTCGGGTTGCTGCTTGGTTGTCATCGCCCACCAGTGAGGCTGCCGTGGCTGCGGCGGCCAGCGATAGCAGTCTCGACAGCACGTCGGCCTGGTCCTCGCCCTGCCGCAGCTGCTGCACGTTGTCCATGTTCTCTCCATCCTGCCATAGTGACCGTCTCCTCCGCGGGTGTCCTATCATGTTGCGAAGTCGCCGCTGAGACGGAATAATGCCGAGAGCCCGCCCATCCCGGCGCAGCGGGCTCAGAGGAACCAGCGGCCGCGGTCGATGTGCGTCCGGCCGCTCGCCCTGCGAGTTGCTCCGCAGCAGCTGGTCAAAGTCGAGCCCCAGCTCCGGCACCTGCACACGGGGAAGGAAGGGCCCTCGGTCGCTTGCTGCGTGTCTCAGAGCGGAGCGGCTTGGCGTGCTGGTACTGGGTGTGCTGGCTGCAGCGACGCCGGGCGTGGGTTCCGTGTTGCGGGAAGCCATGGGCGGCCGCCTGGACAGCAGGCCCGTCATGGAGCTGAGCGAAGAGCGCGCCCGGTTCAGCCGCGATCGCGAGCGACTGGGCAACGGAGCATCTCCGGGCGCTGACGGGCCAGCATCGTGGCGCCCGAAATGAGAAGAGAGGCGGTTGGAGAGTCTGGTGGTGCTCGTTCGGGGTCGTGAGGGCGTGTCCGGCGCTCTCTGCAGCAGCTCTGGCACCGTGTCGCTGTCGGGCTGGGACGAGGCCAGCAAGCCAGGCGCCCATGACTGCGGCCGCGAGCGCCGCCGTGTTTGCGCGTCCGCAGCGCCCGTGGAATTTGCCTGGCCCATGTTGTGAGGCCGTCCGGCGAGGAAGGCGCGCCTCGAGAATAGAAACGGTCGGAGAGGGTGTCGTCGGTCGATGTGTCTTGGGTCAGAGCGACGAGGTCCAGCGGCGGCAGGCGGTGATGTATGGCGCAGCCGAGCCTTCCCAATTCGTCACGCCGCTAACGCCATGGGGCTACCGCCGTCGATTACTCTTGCCCAGGTGCCTCGAGTCTATTACTGAAACCACTCGCCGCACCTTTATTCTACAGACTCAATTTCCCTTCCCTCCCCTCAGTGTGTGTGCGTGGCCGCTATCCTGCATAGCCTCACCGCCGCACCCCGGCCTTCTGAGCAGGGGCCGTTGCAGCGCAGAAGCCGCATGAGCCTGCAGTCCTCCCTCATCAGTAGCCATGCAGCACTTCACCACGCAGCTGCGCCATGAACAGAACAGGACACGCTCGTTGCGCGCGAGTCAGTACCACAGGGCAAGAAGAAATAAAGATAAAAGGAAGGAAGATGAATCACTTGCGGATCTAGAGGCCGACGACGAAACGCAGCCAGACGCCATAGCCCAATCGTACGCCTCGTCCACTGCGCCTGGAATAGCTCAGCTGCGTGTCGCAGGCCTATTGCCCAGTCAAGAGGACAAAGTCCCTCCACCACCCTTCCCCCATGCATCTGCGAGCGTGTCCAAACAACACAATGGCCCCGCTAAAGTCCAAGAGGAAATGGCCAGACCGCCTTCACGCCTCTACGCCGTCCACGCCTCTTCAAAAGGTGGTGCCGTCCAAGGCCATCCAGAGGCTCAGAAGAGGGCTCATCTCGATTCTGTGTCGACGCTGATGCATTGCTGTCTACTCAAGGGAGATTACGAGCGTGCGGGGAGAGCGTGGGGCATGATTTTACGGACGCAGGTTGCTGGTGGGCGCCCTGTAGATCCCCGTAATCACGGACGCTGGGGCATCGGTGCTGAAATAGCGCTGCGTCGAACGCCACAGACGCTGATGGAGCACAGATTCTCTCCAGAAGGCTTTGAGCTTGCTCATGAATATTATAATCGTCTCATTATCCAACACCCAACCCGGAAATTGCAACCCCATGCTGTTGACGAGAGGACATTTTACCCACCCATGTTCTCGTTGTGGATCTACGAAGTCCGCGAAAAGAGCAAGCGTGCAAGACAGCAGCTGCACGACGACGTTGCAAACCAATCACGCTCCTCTCGAAGCACGTCAGTCGACAGTAGCATCAGTGAGACTCCGGACAACTCTTCCGCAAAAGAGGCGACAATTCAAGCGGAGGAACTTAATCAGGCTCTGGAGATTGCAGAGCGCCTCGACCAAGTCATATCATCTCCGCCATTTGATAAGCAGGCAAGTCTCCTGGAACTCCGTGGCCACATTTCTTTATGGGTTAGTGATCTCACAATGGGAGATATGGACACCCATGCGGACTGGGCTATGGATTCATCTACGCACTCAAGTCCAGCTCCAGAACAGCTCAAACGACTTGCAAAAGCTCATCATGAAGTGCTAGCAGCGCAGGCGTTTCTCGAACGAGCGGTTGCGAATGGGGCTGAGAGCCAGGCAGCAACTCTGTCAAGTATCAACATCAAGCGTAGGAGTCTGGTCAAAACTATGGAGCAGTTGCGTACTGCCAGGTGAGGCAAGCACCTCACGGATGAACAAACTTTGATTTCCGCGTTATACCCAACCTCTTCTTACAAGACTATTACAATTTGAGATCATGCACCAAGGTCCCGATACGTGAGTATCCGCTTCTCACGTCTCTCTTCTCGTACATTCCAACCCTCCTCCAGCATTATCTGACTGAGGTCTGACGCCTGCAAACAGCGCAAGTCTAGGCGTAGGAGGCGGCGAGGACAAGACAAAAAGCAAAGTCAGCCACCTCCCAATCATACACAATCCCGCACAACAGCCTCGTATGTGGAACGTCAAACATGGCTCCGAGCTCAAACCTAGAAGGCCGCGCAATTTGCGATCGAGCGTGTCGCGTCGCATCAACATGATCAACGATGTCACATGAGCTTGACATAACATAATCGCACGCCAACAAGAGGGGAGGCAACGTTGAACTCGAATCTTCGTTTGGGCAGTAGAGTCTTCGCCCGGGTATCCTAATGACTGGAAAAGAAAAGCTAGTAAGAAAGCCAGACCCGTTTAAACGCCAAAGCACCCCCATGAGAAGCCAAAGTCATCCGTACCCTTCCCGCCAACACTACATCAATCAAAGGAAGCCACCAAAGACAATCCCACGGATTTGACATGCTAGCTCAAGCCATCTAGCACTGAGGCGAGTTGCAGATCTTGCGCACGTTCTGGGGTACGAAGGTCTGGGGTCCACCAGTGCAGACGCGCTTGTCGCCTTCAGTGTGGCAGTTAAGCGGGTCGATCTTGACTGCGGTACCTGAGATCCACTGGTTGCTGGTCTACTGTTAGTGGTCGGATGTGAAGGAATGTAGTAGTGGACTCACCCTGAGCAGGTCCAGGAGTGGCTGATCTGGTAGTAGGCCTGATCTTGAGGTCCACGGAGATCGAAGAGAAGACGGCGATCAGCGACCTGGCACTCGTTGTTGTTGGGGACAGATGCACCGGAACCGCCGCAGTGAACGCCGTTCTGGACGGGGTCGTCGTTGCCGCCTCCGGAGAAGGAAGACTTGAAGTTGAAGTCAACGCTACCGGAGGTAGCAGAGGTGACGAGCTTGTAGTCAGAGATGGTGTAAGAGACCGGGATACAGCCTTCATCGCCGCGGACAGCAAGGCTGGCGGGAGCAGCTACGGCAACAGCGGCAAAGGCCATTGCGAGGGTGTAGGAGGAGCGCATATTGAGGGGATGTGGCTTTGGTAAGAGGTGGAAACTTGGTAGCAGAGTGAGTTGAGGGGCTGCGTGAGTTGAAGAGTTGATACTTTTGGGAGTGCGATGACGAGAAGGAAAAGGTATTGGAAGAGATTTTTGAGTTATATATACTGGCAGGAGCATTCGCTATGGCGCAATCCGGGGCCGCTACCGGCAGGGGCGACGGGCCAGATGCGTACGAGAAAGTGACTGGAAGGCGAAAAATCGGGTTTGGGTCCGTTCGTAGGTCGCAAGACGAGCAAGATGAGCAAGTTATTTGGGGCTGTACGAGGCAGAGCTAGCGGGTTCTCGAGGTTCAGCAAGGAGACCTTGCGGCTGAAGGTGCAATTGGGCAGGTCTCAGTATAAGCTTACGCGCAGCTGTTGGGTTGTACTACCAGCAGCTGAGCTACATACTAAGGTAACTACCAATAGCTGAGCCATGTAATGAGGGACTAGATTGAGGACAAAGCGTTGTTTGCGAAACGAGCATTGGAGGTGCCTATGGGTAGCACGCCATATAGAAACCGACAAAGGCAAAGACGAGTGGCAGATGATCATAGTCAGACATATCCGCAAGAGATATGGACACAGGACATCATTGCCCGTTAGTCAACAGTAGGACACCCTATGGTCAGAATGCAAGGGCCAGAAGTAGGAACTAGAACAACAGCATTTGTTGTCCCCAATTCACTCTATAATTTAGCAATTAGAAAACTCAAAGGAAAGAGATGTAAAATATAACCAGAAGTAAGCCTTGTTCTTTCATTTCTTGATCAGGGGCATTGTTGTGTTGTTGCAACATTCGAAGATTCACCTATTCTAACTTCCGCGTTCCTGCGAGAGGACGTATGCACCTTTGAAGGTGCTCAGAACACATGCTCAGAAAACAAAGAGCGAGCCCGGTGTAGTGGAGGAGACAGTACCTTGTAGGGCGATGGTGCGTCATTGGCCCGGAAGCGAAAGACCAGCATGGCACTCCCGCGGGGAGCATCGTCATTTCACATGAGCAAGTTGGCCGCCCAGACGCACTCCAACACAATGGACATCACACCAGTATTCAACCAGATACTCGCCAAACACGATGCGCACCCGATCGAGCCTCATGTATTCCGTGTCGAGGCCCTAGATGATTTTGTGAAAGAGGCATACCGCATTGTAGGCCACGTTGCGCGCCTGGACTCGAGGGGAGGTAAAGCTAACTGCCGCAGCGAGGGCACATTGCAAAGCTCCACACGGACCTGAAGTCGATACGGCAAAGTTATCTCTCGACGGCGCATCCTCCCCGCCGGAAGCAGTACACGCGAACCAACGGCTCCGCGACGTCGGCAGACAAAGATGCAAAGTACCTTAGCAACACGCAGCGCAACGAGATCGACGCTCAGGCGAAAGAATCGATACACGGGCTGAACGATGCCATCAAAAGGCTAGGCATTGCTGAGCAAACACGGCAGGAAACGCAGACGCAGGTTGCTTTGAAGAAGCGCGCAAAGCAGGGCCTAGGTGCGCTTGGACGATGGGCAGCGGGCGGGGCAATCACAGCAAAGAGCGTCGAGGAGGAGATGCAGGAGGCCAAGGCAAATACGATCAAGGCGCATCGAGAGGGCATAATATGGTCGCTGCAGAAGCAGCTGGAGCAGTGCGGCCAATTCCAGAGCGACATGATGGAGATACGGCTCATGCGCGAGGTGGAGAAGAGCAAGAGCGTGCTGTACAAAACGAGGACCACGGGACCAACGAGCAGCGACTACAGCGGTATGAATGGCAGCAGTGCAGGCAACGAGTCTGCAGGCTATCGCGCGAAGCCGACGTACAACCCCGACGAGTCGAGCGCGGTGATCGAGAATCAGCTCGACCCCGAGCAGCTCCAGCTATTTGCGCAGGAGAATCAGGACATGCTCAAGCAGTATGAGGACCAACTCGACAAAGTTCGGTACGTACTCGAACGTGCGCATGATGAACAACTACTGACACGGCCAGCGCAACCGAAAAGTCCCTCACCGAGATCTCGGAACTGCAGTCGACGCTCGCGTCCAACCTCAGCATGCAGGCGGCGCACATTGACCAGCTCATCGAAGACTCGTTCAATACGACGGAGAATGTAGGGAGCGGAAACAAGGAGCTCAAGCGTGCGACGGAGCGGGGCAGCACGGCACAGAAGCTGTTCTGGGCGACAAGTATCTTCTGCACGACACTTGTCTTGTGGGACTTGTTCATCTGAAGCGTGCAGGAAGACAGGCTGGTGTTGTTAGTAGACAGTCTACATGTGAATCAATCGCGACCTCGCCGTTAGTATCCGCTGCGCTCTGAGTGGACCAGATTCCCAGAAGCAGGAAAATCAGCCCATGTGGGGTGGGCAGACATGAACCAGGTGCAACGCAGACCCACAACGGTTCATGGCAAGAAATGGTCGTGGTGATGCCCTGCATGTGAGACGGCCTGTCTGGCTGACATGATGGCGCGGCAACTTGTGCCTCGGCTTGCCTGCTCACACGACGCTGCGGCAGACCTTCCGAGCGTCAACTCTATATAACGAGCTGGCCGAGAGCCGTCGCCATGTCTGCATCTCTTGCTCATCGTCTCGCGCCGGCCCTCCCGGTTCTCCGCATCTCGTCTCCAAAAGCAAACTGCGGGGTTTAGCGTGGGCGGACGCGGCTTCCCTTTCCTAGGCAGCGGCAGCGGCAGCGGTGAAACGTAAACGTGGGAGCGCTCCTACGCCGTAATCATGCCAGACTCACGCACCTCCTCCTCCACTCCTCCCCAGACCTCGTCCAAGACACGCCTCTCCCAGATCTCCTCCCACATCGAACCCATGGCTGCCACCGCTTTCGACGCGAATGTCGTCCCCCAGGCGCCCGAAGACCCGCTCTTCGGCCTCATGGCTGCCTTCCGTCGCGACGAGGACCCCAACAAGGTCGACCTGGGCATTGGCGCTTACCGTGACGACAATGCAAAGCCCTGGATTCTGCCCGTCGTGAAGAAGGTACGCCATCGCGCCTTCCTCATGTCCACACAACACAGGCTAACATTGCACGTCCACAGGCCGACGACAGACTGCGCGACGACCCCAACCTCAACCACGAGTACCTCCCCATCGCCGGTCTCGCCGAGTTCACAACCGCCTCCCAGAAGCTCGTGCTCGGTGGTGACAGCCCCGCCATCAAGGAGAAGCGGGTGAGGACACCCCTCCATCACGTCATGACTTGAGCTCACACCACACAGGTCACCAGCTTGCAGACCATCTCTGGCACCGGCGCCGTCCACTTGGGCGCCCTCTTCCTCGCCAAGTTCTACAAGACCCAGAGCCAGCGGACCGCCTACTTCTCCGACCCGACATGGGCCAACCACTTCCAGATCTTCTCCAACGTCGGCCTCGAATACAAGACATACCCCTACTTCTCCAAAAAGACCAAGGGCCTTGACTTCGATGGCATGATCGGTGCCCTACAAGATGCGGCAGAGGGCAGCATCATCGTACTGCACGCGTGTGCTCACAACCCCACCGGTGTCGACGCTACACAAGAGCAGTGGAAGAAGATTGCCGAGGTGATCAAGTCAAAGAAGCACTTTCCTTTCTTCGACACCGCCTACCAGGGCTTTGCTTCAGGTGACCTTGCAACTGACGGCTGGGCGATCCGCTACTTTGTCGAGCAGGGCTTCGAGCTCTGCATTGCCCAGTCCTACGCAAAGAACTTTGGTCTGTACGGCGAGCGAGCAGGCTGCTTCCACTTCGTCACCTCTCCGTCATCCGACGCCGAGTCCACCATCAAGCGCATCGCCTCACAGCTCGCCATCCTCCAGCGCTCCGAGATCTCAAATCCTCCTGCCTACGGTGCCCGCATCGCCTCGACCGTCCTCAACGACCCCCAGCTCTTCGCTGAATGGGAAGACAACCTCCGAACAATGTCTGGTCGTATAAAGGAGATGCGCAAGGCGCTTCGTAGCAAGCTCGAGGACATGGGCACACCCGGCACATGGAACCACATCACAGAGCAGATTGGCATGTTCAGCTTCACCGGCTTGACAGAGCAGCAGGTTCTGAAGATCCGGGAAGACTCCCATGTGTACATGACCAAGAACGGTCGTATCTCCATGGCTGGCCTGAACACACACAACGTCGACTACTTTGCGAAGGCTGTCGACAAGGTTGTGAGGGAGACCCAGTAGGGTGGAGGCATAGCACCTTGTAGAGGTTTTCAGGAGTCTTGCTAGCCACGACTGGCCGAAGCTGGAATGTGTTACGATTATACGGGACAGCGACCAAGCCGTACTGTTGGGATGGAGAATCTATCATAGACTAGTCTTCCCCTCATCTAGACTATTAGAGTCCGCTATTGAACATGCGGGTGTGATGCCATTTTCCCCCTCTGGTCTAACACTTAAAAGACTGTACAAATACATCGCTTCGACAGACACAACGGATGAAGAGTCTCTGGACAGTCACATTCATGAGTCTCGGTGTGGCACACATGATAGCAGGTAAAAGAATGATGTGTTTATATCAATACATAGGGTATACAGCTCCAGCGGTCCACCTGACGACAAAGGAAAACAACACCCATACAAGCAGTGAGACGAACAATAGCCGTCCGGCACATCTTCAATTTCCTCATCATACGCACCATATTCATCATTGTCGCAAACTAAAGCGTCTACTTAACCCCTTTGCTATGCGTAAACCTCGCGATACTGCCAATACTCCAGCTTTTCCCTTTCCTCTCCTTTTCCCGATGCTTCTTCTCCTCACGTTCCCGTACCTCGTCACTCGATTCCAAGAGAATGTCTCCACTGAGCCGCTTCAACATGTCGAGAGTCGAAGACGTTTTGCGCAGACGGCTCTTCTTCGGGGGTGGCGGCGGGACAAGATCGTCGAACGTTGGGGTGCGCCATTGTAGGGTGTTCGTGTCTACGGGTAGAGGAGGGAGAGGGGCATTGTTTCGCTGGATAGTAACGAATCTATCCTCCATGGGTGGGAGAAGCATGGAAGATGCGACGGGCGATAGTATGTGTTCTTCTATGTCATCGCCGTTGTTGCTACCGTAGCTCCATGATGACTCGTTCGTTCCTTGGATGGGCAGGCTTATTGCGCTACTGCTGTTTGACGAGTGGGCCGAGTACTGGTATGGGTGCGGTAGTGGTGCTGAATGAGGTGGTTCATAGTCGTCGGGTCTAAGCTCCGGTCGATTCGCGTCCGCAAGGAGGGAGTCTGATTGCGCACGCTCTTTGGGTAGAAAGGGATTGTCTCGGAAAGCCGGGTGGTCAGACAGTGCTGGTGGCGGATATGTTGGTGCTCTCCACACCGACATTGGTGGCCTGGGTTGTCGCTGAACGTGTTGGGATGACCTGGCTGATGTGTCTGCGGAGTGTGGACGCGTCGTCATGGTTGGTACAGTCAGACTTGTTTGCGACACGGTTCTGGACAGTGGAGACAGGAGCCGCGGTGAGGCGGATCGCGCGCGCGACTCGGAGGCGGTCTTTCGTAGAGTATGTGACTCAGTAGGGGCCGGTGGCTCTGCTATCGGAAGTGGCTTGGAGAATGCCTTCTCTTGTGCCTTCAACCAATCCGGGGTTGCGCATGCTGATATCGCTGACGCATCGTAATTCAGACTGGAAGGATCCGCTTCGCCCGTGGTGAGTAGTTTCTCGATTGCTTCACGCAGGTCCTGCGGGTCGACGTTATCAGAAGCGCGCGTAACCGCCCACTGCGGGTGGTTGACCTTTATGGATAGCTGCCTTGAACGGGAACCTTCGGACGATACGGTGGAGGTGTCTGAGAGACCAGGCGGGTCGCCATGGGAGTGACCTCCGTTATCCGTACGGCACTCCTCTGACACCGGTTGCACCTGGAAGACCTGAGAGGACTTTGTCGCTAGTGGGCGGATGCATGGCCACGAAAGTGACTCTCGCATGAGGTCGTGGATGTCCGGTTCTGTTGACAGTGTGTCCAACTCCTCCAACTTCTTCGCTACCCCCGGGTTCTGCGTACATCGCAGCTTAGAGAGGTACGCGCTGCATGCTTGTGTGTTGGATAGTGGATGACCGTAGTCGATCAGATCTTCCAGTACCGTCGTGAATTCAGTGTTGAAGTCCTGTATGCTTGCGTACTGGTCGATGTGTAGGTTTAGGAAATGGCAGAACGCGTGGTGGTATCCAGAAAAGCTAAAGACACCGAAGTTATCGTCCAATGCTTGCAGCATTTCTTGCGAAGTGTGGTTGATGGGAGGTAGGGGTGGCCCGACTTCGAAGACTTCCTGCATCACTTCTTCTGCCACGGAAAGAAACATGTCCAGCTTGACCTCGCGATCTTGTCGAACCCATGCTCTTCGCTCCTCGAGCAGGCTCGGCTCTACATCTTTCGTTTCCTCTGAGGAGGCCTTTGGCATAGGCATGGGTAGAGCGCCATTGCAGTATTTCCAAGTATCTTTCGATTCCAGTGCAAATTGAAGACTGCGTCGCCAGCGAGAGTACTCCGGCCCGCTGGAGTCTAGTTTTAGGATGGGGACGCCGGGTAGGCGTGGAGAGGTTTGTGGCTGCATTAGTCCTGGTTTCGCAGGCGTTACTGCACTTCTGAACGGTGCAGTTGATGGAAGGAGCTCGTAGGAGAATAATCACCGAGGAGACCAAGCACATTTGAACATCACCGCATAACACCACAGCCCATCAGCATCGTCTCACCAGAATATGGCCGCATGCACATCAGCCCTGACACCCTAGCTCTTTGTTCCAAGGCCGGACTTCCACAAAGGCGAGCCAACCGTAGCTTGAAGCATATGTACAGCCATGCGCAACCACCATGATCCCAGATTAGGTCTCGCACGCACCAGGACCCCTTACCTACACAATCATTGAATTGGGTTTGGGCCGTTTTCATCGAGTACCAAGACTGACGTGTAGCAGACTTCTCGCCGTTGACCGTACTCCGCGTCGGGTAGTAATGGGTGCGCAAGCGAATCAAAGCTATGGAACGCGTGGCAGTATGAGCATTATTGGTCGTCGGAATCCGGTGGTTGCGGGGAGTTTCTCTGTTCCCGCCTCATCTTCATGTCCGAAACGCAACGTTGCGGCTCTTCGCGGGATCAGGCGAACAATCGAAACTTTTTGACATCGGGCCTTTTGCCGCCCATGACGATGCCAACGTCAACGATGATGACTTGGACCGACCAAGATTGAGCTCTCAGCCTGCGAAGAACGGTAAGCGGGCGGGGTCGTTCGGGATCATGA